TTTCTTGATTCTGGATTTGGGTGTGAGATTGAGAGGTAAACCCGAATGTTGATTCGCAATATATCTATTAAGAAAGATGCATGAACTTCGAAAAAGCTTGTAAAAGTTTCATCATTGGGGTCTAGCTAGGGGCAAGTAATGAAGTTCTTCGTGCATCTAGCCTATTGCATGAATTAGATATAAGACAAATGCTTTATTGCACGCTTGAACGAGCCAATTAGCTTAAGTCACGTTATTTTGTTAGCCACTTGTAAAGAGTGATTTAATTATGGCCAAATTGCAGACAATAGCCCAATCATTAACCCAATTTTCAAATTTTATCCCCATATTATCAAGTTATCATAAAAATGACCAATCTTGTATTTCCTTTTGAAAAATGACACAAATGATTCCCGAACTTTGGTCCAATGTGCAATGTGGTCCATGAACTTATAATTTGTTCAATGTGATCCTTGAACTATAGTCCAATGTGCAATATAATTCTTCAACTTTTAATTTCTTCAATATGATCCCTGAACTTTGATACATGTGCAATCTAATTCTAAATTATATGAAAATGTTCAATATATCTCTAAACTTGAATCAATGGAAGGACTACATTGAATATTTTCATATAGTTCATAGACTAAGTTGAACATGTACCAAAAGTCTAGGTACTACATTGAACAAATTGAAAGTTTAGTGATCATATTGCACATTGAACTAAAATTCAGAGGCCACATTGAACTAATTAAAAGTTTAGAGACCATATTACGCGTTGGGTTAAAGTTCATGGACCATTTGGGTCATTATCCCTTTCCTTTTTAAATTTATCCCGCAGTTAATTTTCCATCCAATGAGGTGTTAGTCCGATGACATGGTACTCGTGTGGCGCCAACATGGGTATATTTTATGATTTAGACATAATAGCCAACCCAAAATGCTTTAAAAAAAGGAAAAATAATAGCAAGTACTTATGGAATAAAACAGGAAAAAAAAAACTAGAATGATGGAATGCACCGAGACATAACCCACGATCGTTTTGTTTAAAAAATATTGATAAATAAAAACCCAATGAATTTATAAACAAAGCAAAAGTTTACATGAAAACATTTAAAATCGACATGAAATTAAGAAACAACGCGACAAAGTAAGAGAAAATTATTAGAAGAAATATGCAAATGATTAATATAACTCATTTAACTCCAAAAGTATAAAACATTGCCATGGTGGCAGCATGTGGGCGCCACGTCACCAAGTCATAGATAGTTCTATGGATGGAAAATTAACGACGGGATAGATTTGAAATAAAATCAAAAGGTTGCACAGTTTTTTATGACTCGAAAAGGCCAGGAAATTTGAAAGTCGAGTTAGAGGTTCGGCTTTTATTTATTTTATTTTTTTGAGTTAGGCCTTTATATATTGAACTTCACGATATCATATGATTTAAGATTAATACCATGAAAAATCCTAAACCGGTACACATGTAATAAATTTACCCAAAACTAGTATACATGTGATAAATTTACCCTCCATTAGTTTTCGTTAAATTTTATTGTCAAATTACTGAGTTAGATAACACGTGGCAGTTGACAGATGCATGAGTTTGAGGTTTTATCCCTCCGTTTGTCACACAATTACTAGTTTGTGATTTTTTGTGGTATTAATCCAATTTATCGGAAGGTAAATTTATCACAAATGTACCAGTTTGGGTTTTTTGGTGGTCAGAAGATCAATTTGGAGTAAATTTATTACAGGTGTATCATTTTGTAGGGGTGTACAAAATGGACCGCCCAAACCGGGAACCGGACCAAACCGACCGGTCCGGTTCCCAAGAGTGTTGGTCCGGTTCCTGATTCCTAAAAGTGAAACCATTATCCAGGCGTTCCGGTTTGGAACCGGATCTACTACATATTTTTATTTTTTTGTGAGTATGTGTAGAATCGATGTCCAGGCAGTCCGGTTCCCGATTCCAAGAGGAACCGGACCGATTACATATATATTTTTTTGTGATTATGTGTAGTTGGTATGGCGAATATAGTTCCAATTTTAGAACATATGTGTACTCGGCACGAGGAATACAATTCGTCATCGTATTGGCTCGAATTGCACGCTTATTTTTGTGATTATGTGTAGTCGGCATAGGGAACACAAATCTAGTTTCAAAATATATGGTATCAAGTAGTGGGAAAAAAAAAAGTGACCGATGCCATTGGACTGAATCGGAATGTCCGATCCGGTTTCCAAAATTGGGAGCCGGTTCTCCACCGGCTCGGGAACCGATCACTTCTATTAATTTAGGGTTTTTTATGGTATTAACCCTATGATTAATATAGCATGTTTACTCTGTGTGGCTTCAAAATCTTGGTTTACTTGGACAATTATTCCCTCGGGGGTGTATTTCGAAGAGGAAACTAGAGCAGGATATAGTGCAATTATCCTGTACATACATGCATATATACACACATCGACATAAAAGTAAGTACATATATAGATACATTTAATTGAATACTCCTAAAGAAAAACTATTAAGTTATTAACAAGCTAACGTAGGTAAATAGTAAGATCGTTATTGAAGTGGAGGATCTTCTTTAGCGCAAGAAAAGAGAATAAGATTTTCTTAGGCTATGTTTGGTTGGAATTTTGAAAGTTTTTGGAAAAATGCAAATGGCTTTATGTTAAATGGTTTTTTCAAAATGCAAATAGTATTTGATAAAATATAATTAAAAAGTGCCTTGGGAATTGATCTTGATTTAAATGCCATTTGAAAAAAAATAGACAGGTAAAGAACTTTAGGTATACATTTTAAATAAATAAATAAACTCTCCTTGCAATCGTCAGTGAGCCACATATGGCTCAGAGGCCGTCGCCTGGGGTCGCACAACCTCAGGCGAGGTTCGCCGTACCAAATCTGGCTTGTCGGCGACGTCGTGCAACTTGGAAAATGGCGAGTGTAAAACTGGAATTTCGAAAGTTTAGCGATAGCAAATTTGGAAGGAAAAAATGCATTACCATGCTCAAGATATATTGCAATCCAATCAATTGGAAACGATTCTTATTTCTATCGACGATATTTAGAATTCACTAGAAAAATCCTTTGTCGAGAAACCAAACGAGGCTAATAGCTTGACACCTAGTAATTGTAAGAATTGCTAAAATTCAGAATTGCTAAAATTCATACTTTTAGCGTGCTCTTTTGGAAAAAAAAAAGGAACTCCAACAGAAAACCTAATCTCTCCGGTGCCCCTAGAAGGATTCGGCTTTACTTTGTGATCTTGCTTTGTTAATAGTTTATTGAACGAGTGCGTGTAAGTATCTTATTGACTTATTCAATACATATGATTTGATTTGGAGGACAGCAATTCTACCACCCATATATATATTTTTAATCTCAAGGCTAACCGAGCAATGAAAAATGTCTTAGCTCCCTTTTTCTTTTATACAATTTGCTCATTATTCAAAAGATATTCACACTATTTATAGTAGATTGGCATAAAGCTCGAGCTCCTGAACATTAGTCCCCATTTTTTTCGCGGAAAATGAATGATTTGGAAAATATTTTCCTAGAAACAATCACTTGTATTGGTTGAATTAATAGTCCACTAGAAATGTTTTCATTATCGATAATAATGTATGTCTCGATATTTTCATGGACAATGAAAATATTTTTCATTTATTCATTTTTTGTATGTGATACAAGTGATCGTTTTTAGGAAAATATTTTCCAAATTATTAAACCTTAAAGTGGCCAAGCTATCCACATGATATAGATAGATGGATGGATAGATGGAAAGATACATATCACCAGAGTGTCTACTAATAATTTTTGGGAAAATTTCAAATAAAAACCTGAAGTGCCTTCATTTTCTTAAATAAGAACATAAAGTGGCCATGGTAGTTTCAATAAGGGCCTGACCTCGTCGATCGTTGACCCCGGCTAAATATTTCGGCCTACCAAAGACGTTTTTGTTCAAAGACAATTTTAATTTTAAAATTTTCTTTTTTTCTCATTTCTTTTTTTTTTCTTTCCGGCCAGGGCTGGCGAGGGCCCAGCGACCCTCGCCGGCCACTGGGGTATGGGTCGCCTCGCCCATTCCCACGTCAATTGCGTGCGAGGCGACCCTCACCTAGATTTGGCAAGGCAGTCCTCACTTGTGGCTTTCGAGGGCGGTCTTGCCTAGGGCGAGGGTCACCTCACCGAGGTGAGGCCGTCCCTCGCCGGTCGTTGGCAACGCGACCCTCGGCCAGATCTGATGAGGGCGGCCTCGCCTAGGGCAAAGGTGTCACTTGCTAGATCGAGTGAGGGCGGCCTTGGCCCAGCCCTTTCCAAGTATTGTCGGTGTCTGCCAAGCCATCAGCGAAGAAGAAAGCAAAAACTCGAAAAAGGAAAAAACGAAAGAAAAAAGGAGAAAAAGGAAAAGGGTAAAAATTAAAATAAAGGTAAATGACGAAAATGCCTTATTTGGAAAGTCAGGCCCTTCTTTGAAACTAACATAGTCACTTTAGACTTTTATTTGAAACAATATCCACTTCAGACCCTTATTTAAAATAAGATTCATTCCAAGTCCTTATTTGAAAATTTTCCTTTTTTTTTTTTTTGGCTATTTGCGCGCTCCCATAGCCCTTGATCCACCGTTGGTCGAACCATCGCATTTGCCTCTAATTTCGAACTTGGTACAGGGTCTAGCAAGTTCTATTCGGCAGGCGAAGCAATAATTTCTTGATTTTTTTTTTACCTAATTTAGGAAACTTTCTTAGGATTATATTATAAGTGGAGGTGCATTATAGATGGATTACGTAGACTTCATCAAAGACTGCAAATCATGGCCCGAGCTCCATGGGCCGGCCCAGGCCCGGCCCGTGCCACAAGAGCCCAGTTGTACTTTGGCGGGCTTGGGCCTATATCCAATTGGGCCCGGGTCAAGCCCGCATAGCTGTTCTCGTCATGGGCGGGCCTCGGCAATTTCCGGTTCTACGTCGGGTTCAAGAGGAAATCGGTACTCGGGTCGGGTCAATTGTCGGACCCCCCGTCTCTCTGCCCGTCTCTTTATCCCCCTCCGACTGCAAAGTTTGAAGTTTTCTCGGGAAAATTCCGATCGGTCCGAAGCAGATTTTCGCCGGAAAATGGACGCGAAGTCTCTGGCCAGATCGAAGAGAGCTCACTCCCTGCACCACAGCAAGAAGCACCATCCCCCCGGCCCGAAACCTAGAGCGCCACCGGGAACTTCGAGCGAGCCGGCGAGCAAGGCGGCGTCGGGGAAGCAAGTTCCCGAGAAAGCCCAGCCGCGGCCGACGAAACCGAAGCTGCCCTCGAATTGGGACCGCTACGAGGAAGAAGAAACCGAGTCGGGCCTCGCCGGGGGGAGCGGTGAGGTTCAGGTTTCCGATGTTCCGGCGCCGAGGAGCAAAGGGGCGGATTACCGGTACTTGATCGCCGAGGCCCAATCTCAATCTCAGTCTGTTCCGGATGAACCTTGCGTGGATGGTTTCGTGTCCTTGGGTGATGTTCTTCCCGGTAAAGTTCCAGGCTTGGTTCTCTGTTTTTCCGCAATTTGTTCGTTTCTGCATTTGATTTGGCTCTGTGTTAACTCGGAGTCGAAAGTTGATCTGGATTGTTACTTGTTACCTGCATCAGGACCAAGTACTAAATTTGATGTTAATTGGCGATTTTTGTTTGCTGTTGGAAGGAGTTGGTACTACTTTGTAGGCAGGAGGGGTGGTGTGAGAAAAGTGTAGTCATTTCATTGGTAGATGGATGATTCTATGAAAGATTACTGATTTATTATGCCATTCTGGGGAGGCTGGTTTTGTTGCTAATTGCATCGATACTTCTTCCATGGCCGTCAGTTGAAATTTTGGCTCGTGTCTCAACGTGTAACTTTCTGTTGGCTTTCGGCAGAATTTTTCGGTGGAGGGGCAAGTGCTTTGCTTTCGGTTAGGGGAGAGGCGGTCTTGTCATGGGCCGATGAGGACAGTGTCGTTGTCGATGATAAGGCAACTTCAGGTCATGAGGTACATGTCCTTATTCACTTTTGGCATTTCCTTCGTTCGACAGGTTCTTTCTTTGAGGATTTTAGTTGCATTGTGCGCGGCTCTGTCGTTATTAAAGAACTTGTTAGTTCGAAACGAGTCGTGTGGGGAAGGATGGCTCTGCTTATCATGTTGTTGGGATCATGTAGATTAGAGTGATTTTCTATCTCAAGTTCTCAACCCATTTGTTTCTGAGATAGTGGTGATTGTGTGATTTGAGCAGCCTCGCTCTTCACAAGTACACATGTCCTTGATGTTGTGCGTTAGGATCGTTGTGATTGCTTTTTCATAGCAGTGGACAAATTGGATCTTACCATTGCCTGACTAATAGTCTCTATCAAAGTGCAAAGTGATTGTTTTAAAGATGTATCACCATGCAGAGAGAGAGAGAGAGATGGAGGGAAGTGGAGCACAGGCAATAATTTTGTGTGATGCAAGCTGATATGTCTGGAGCTAGAATACGTTCATGCCCAAAGTTATCTTAGGCTGGATTTTGTTATAATCATGATATTTTGGGGAGGCATTTCTTAAGCTTTTAGCTTCTGTAAAATGAGATAACCCAATGTTTCGTCTTCTTTTATGTGCAAAACTTAACGCTTTGTCTTTTAATGCAAGCTGATATGTTTGGAGCTAGAATACATTTCTGCCTAAAGTTATCTTTGGCTAAATTCTGTTATAATCATGAAACTTTAGGGAAGCATTTTTCAAGCTTTTAGCTTCTGTAAAATGAGATAACCTAATGTTTCGTCTACTTTTCTGGTGCATAAACTTAACGCGTTGTCTTTGATTTTAGTTTTTCAGTGTGATATGTCATCTACAAACCTCCACTCCACTTAAATGAATTCTTATGGCTTCATGCCAGCCACTTTCATTTTTGTTGTTGTTACATTTCAAATATGCAATCTGTCTCGCTTCTGTCAAATTGCCTCCACTTAGTTTGTTGCTTCCCCTGTGTGATGTATTATTCAGGTGCCATTTCTATCCCTGAACTTGAATGCACTTGCTGAACAACTTGCAAAGGTGGACTTAGCTAAACTGCTCTTCATTGAGCCGGATCTGTTACCGCCTGAAATGGTACATCTCCTTTCCCAACTAATCTATCTGCAGAAGTTTTATAAGAATTTATACGAATTGATTGGTGAGTGTCATGTGGCAAAGTCTTTGGGTACAAATGGGCTGTGTACTTTAACCATTCGATATTTTGGTTTGGCAATCACTTGGCAAAGAAAAGATTCAGTTATCCTGCTTTATGGTTAGAAGTTCGAATTTCTTGGGACAGAACTTAATGGATGATTTGAAAGTTACAGTGAGGCTTCTTTAGTGACAATGGCGTTGAAGACGTGTTGTCTGTATAGTCACCACAAGCAATCTACTTCTTGCAGAAAGAAGGTTTATTGGAGAATTATTGAGATGCTTGACACTGGGCTTCTAAATATTTTTAACATGAGAAAATACGAATGACTTGTGCAAACCTAAGGCATGTCTCAGCCTCTGATGTCCATGCATGCACCTCTGAGACTCTGCCCACACATGTTTGGTTGCAAAAAGTGCCGTCTCTGTGTGGAAATTAATTAGGAAAAATCGACCTGCTCTAGATATGGTGCCTTTGTATTGTTAATCTGAATTTATCAGGACAGGACGATTTTCTTGTCCAGCTCTTTGATCTTAACTTGCTTTCTGAAAGTTGATATGGGTTCATTTACTGCAGAAGTCACATGGTTGTCATAAAGGAATTTTGTCTGTCTAGGATCTGCTAAATGTTTGGTTACTTTTTTCCCTAAGAAGCGTATGTTGGCACCTTGAGCGACAGATATCAAACACTTGCTAATATCATCTCTTTCACTGGTTGCAAGTTTTGCTCTGCCATATCTCGAACTAGAATTTGATTTCATGTGATTGATTTGACAGCATACAGGGCCATACATCGCGAGCAGTGAAAAGGCCTCTGATCAGATTCAAACGGCCAAAACTGAAGCAGCTAAGAGCCGGTTAGATGTACTAGCTCTTGATATGGAAGAAAGAGAAGAAGATGAACATAAAGAGTCTGGAATGGGCGGAAGTAAATCGGATTCAGTATTAAACTTTCTGGATGATAATATTTCTGTGGATACTAGTGAAGTTTCTAGCTTAGGACAAACCATAGTTCCAGAGTCCGCTGATGAGTCAATCAAGATATCTGATATAGACCTGGAGAAGAGAAACTCCACATTTGAGGCAGCAGCTGCAGAAGCTGAGCTCGATGTGCTTCTCAGCTCTTTTGGTGAAACCAAATTGACTGAGCCATCTGGTTTTGGCTTCACTAAGACCACTCCTGCTTTCCGAGAACAAACTCCAATGCCACAGGCCTCTGGACGAGGCTTTATTTCCTCTGTGGCTACACCTGTGCCCGATTCTGCTAAGATCGATGTTCTTCTTGATGATTTACTCGAAGAAACCTCGAACTTTGCTCAACAAAACACTCAACACAGTGTATTGCAAACCCAGCAGGCAAATTCTGTTGCACATGGTGTCCAGTCTCCTCCTGTTGTCACTACATCAAAAGACTTGGACGATTTTGACTCATGGTTAGACACCATTTAGCTGTTATGTAGACTGAAGTCTTAAATGTATGTACATTAATCCCCCTCGGTTGTTATACAAGGATGATTATCCTCTGCTTTCCAAGCAAATGCTGTTAGTGCACAGTCGGGAGTCTGGCTATTCATCTTCATTCCGGGGGCAGCATGTAAGCCAGAATCTTAAGAATTAAGATTGACCAGATGATTAATTAGGGCGTTGGTTTTGCTTAGTTTGTTTGACAACTTAGATTCTTTTGTCTATTGTCACTAGGACTTTTCGGACAGGTCATGTTTAAGCAAGTAGGTCTCGTTCGAGGAGGGACGGATTCCTGAACCATGACAATCCTTGCAATACTTCTTACCTTACAGGCCGGTCGAGCCATCCTGCTGATCACGAAAGTCCCATGCGAAGGAGAACCTACTTCTCGTGTAAAGGTAGAAGTATCGTACCGGGTCATGGAAACGGAGCGCAGAACAATCTGATTCTGGTTTTTCTTGATAGGCGATTTGGCTGAGTTCAATGAACCGAGTTCGATGCTCGAACTCTAGTCCTTGCTGACTCGAAATCGCGGTATCATGGCAGGAAGGTTTGCCCTCGGTCAAAGCTCATCTTAGACATATCCTACATGAGCTCAACTGCGTGTAAAAGGTCAGTAAAGTGTATGCTAGATTCAACTTGGTAGCGACCACGTACCGTAATCTTTTCCCCAAGTGCGAGGGCAACCTAAGATTTTCGGATCGCCCGGTCGGCCCTGTACAGGCAAAACATGGTACGGCCTTTTTTTATAGCGTGGGACATCATATCACGGTACAGACATACGCGCATGAGGGGACAGGACGGACGGTTTATCATCGAATGCACCGGGCTCAGAAAAACATTCATCATAGCAACTACCAATGTGAATGATGGACGCTACGGGACGCGTAGGCCTCGCTTCACTTGATGGGTCCCGAGGATGATGTCCGAATCCTTTTCCTCCATGTTCGAGGCGATTTCGACGCTCGGCGAGGGGATTGTCGCCCCCCCCCCCCCCCCCGGCCACCGGGAGAAAGAGTGGTGGGGCTCTCGATAATGAGACTGTCGTTAGTGACTGGCGAGTATCGCGCGTCCCTCGTGGAGGGTCGAGCGGATTTTTACTGCCCTTGTTGGGGGCATGGCCAACCATCGACGGGTGCTGTTTCATCATCATTGGCTATCGATAGGAGGGGGGCCTCTCTCTCTCTCTCTCTCTCTATAAGTTTTCTTTTCTCTTTCACTAATGTCGAGGATGGTGCATGCCACATCGACGATATGATATATGTTAATCATGGTTCTTGACGGATGGAAGAACTCGATTGCACCATATCGAATATCAGATTATAAAAGACTTGGTCGTACAAAACTCGCTGGAAGAAGAAGATCGCCACCATCGTGTCTGAAACTAACTTGTCCTTGACCGATTTGCTTCCCACAATTAGTCCAAATTGAGAAGAAGAAGAAGAAAGTAAATCCCGAATCGCCTTTCCTTCTATGCAAACTCCTCCCGAATCAGGAGGAACACAAAATTTTTCCCCTTCTATGAAAACAAAAATCCGAAAAAAAAAGGAGAAAAAGGCCAAAAAAAAAAAAAAAGAAATGAAAAAAATGAAGCAATTGAATCCTTTTCATCGGGGACCCGTCAGAGCCACAGAGCTCCGGCGTCCTTCAGCGCCGGCACCAGCTCCCCGGTGATGTGAGCCGTCATCACCCGGTCCAGCCCCCCGAACAGCCGCCCCCCGATGAACACCGCCGGGAGCTGCACCCCGCCTCCCCCGCCGCCGGCGATCCGCTCCAGCTCCCCCACCACGGCGGCCTCCTCCTCGTCCCCGAACTCGCGGGCCGCCGGGTTCGCCCCGTGCCCGTGCAGCAGCCGCTTCACCACGTGGCTCATGCAGCAGCCCCGCTTCCCGAACACCACCACCGCGCTCTCCGCCACCGCGCGCCGCGTCCCCTCGCGGACGCCCGCGAGCTCCTCCAGCTCCTCCTCCCCCCGCAGCCTCTGCTGCTCGCCTCCGCCGCCGGCCGCCGCGAAGCTCGGGTTCAGGAGGAGCGATCGGCGGCGGTTCAGGGAGCCTGCGCCGCCGCCGCCGCGGCCGCGGACCGGGAAGGGCGACGGCTCGTAAGGGATCGCTTGTTGCATGATTGGGTCTTTGGGCCTTCTTGAGATCGCGAGGGGACTGATGATCGGAGAAAGAGTGTGTAGGAAATTCGCGCTTGTGCAGTAGAAATGCAGTGTGCAAAGAGGGCCGATGGGTGGAAGCATATAAATGGTGGAGGGAGGAGAGAGAAAGTAGAGAGAGAGAGAGAGAGGGGGGAGGGGTGGGGGTGAGGGATGACGTCACGTGACTAGAAGGGGTCGTACGTCAACGGCAGTTAGGCTCGGGGCTTTGTTTCCGGCTCGTCGATGACGTCAGCACTAGCGTCCCCCTTAAAAAAAAAAAACGATTTTATTCACCGTAAAGTTGTCATTATTATTATTATTTTATTTTTTTTGCGTGTGATGTTGATGTGGTCGAAGTGTATTTTAAGATGAATTGTTTCGTCATCGAAGCAATCAGCACATTTTTATTTGCTTTTTTTTGTTCTTCTAAGAGAAGAGACGGCGGGATCGTGAATAACCGGACGGCACCTGATCACGTGCCCCTGGGTCGGTGGCATCGCTATGTATGGCATCTTACTTTCGCAGATGAAATAAGGAAAGGACGTTAAAAGGAAAAATCCGCATTCGGCATGTTATCCTGGGCAATGCAGATCCGGATTGAATCTGAAAACTCGGCAACCAACTCAAAGCCGAATCAGATATTCACCGGCATGTTGGCCCGAGGATAAGATACCAAAATCGGGCCAGGTGCGGCCACTTAGCGAGGCAAATGCGGTACCAAATACGGCAGATGCGAGCATCCTCCAGCTATAGAAGGTGCGTAAAGACTTGGATTTGGACGAAGGATGCAAGCTGACGCGTCCGGGATAAGTACATTATCCCTTGATAACAAATGAGATTTTTAGCGGCAAATGATGCGAACCGATTGAGACCCTGTAAATTCCGTTAATGAAATCAAAATTCAACTCATGCAATAATCTAGGGTTTCATCTTGCTAGATTTTTTCTTGTGAATGACTATATTTTTTATAGGGTTAATACCATCAAAAACTTCAAACCAGTATATATGTGACAAATTTACCATCCGTCAATTTCCGTTAAATTTTATCGTCAAATTGCTGAATTGGATGACACGTGGTAGTTGACGGATATATCAGTTTTGGGTTTTACCTCTCTGTTATTCATAGGTTTACCAATTTGTGCCTTTTAGTAATATTTATTCAATCTAACGGAAGGTAAATTTGTCGTAAGTATACCGATTTGGGATTTTTGGTGATAAAAAACTTAGCTTGGGGTAAATTTTTCACAGATGTACCAGAGTTTCTGTGGTTAAAAAATGAATTCGGAATAAAATTTATCGCAGATATATTAATTTAGGGTTTTTCATGGTTATACGATTAGTTTTGTAAATTCATTTGATTAAGTTTAGTACAAGTCGAATTCACCAAAAAAACAGGAGATGGCGTGGGGGGAAGGGAAAGGATGTTTTCCATCCACGCTGTTGACTGCGTGATGTCGCTAGGCTCACGCGGTGCGGTTCTTTTCCACGCACGTTAGAAGAGAAAGAGAAAGGCGACATCGATTGACCGACAAGCAGTTCTGGGACAGGCCTACGAAGCAAGAAAGCTTTCTGAACACATGCGTGCGATGACGTGTGCGACGACGTGTGCGACAACGTTTAGGGCTGGCCGATTGTGGGCAGTCGTTTCCACACTGAATATCTAAACGCGCGCTCGGAACAGGACGAAAAGGTTACGTGTCATTTCTGATTTTATACGCGGATGCATACGCATGTTAAATTAATAAATAAATGCGCGATTTAATATTTAAATATTTCGAGACTTCCCTTTGCTTATAGACTGGACTTTGGTTTAAGATTAAGGCGCGTGAATAAGGCGTGTGAATATGTATGATGAGGGAGGCAAAACAGGAGGAGATCTGGCAAAACTTGAATTCGGAACCTCCTATTATGATAGGATGTGAGATTTTATAGGATTACGGCTAATTATTCAAAAAATCCGAGCTGGTAATTGCGCATCGTGTTGTATAGTGTTTGGTAATGTGTGGTGCTAAATTAGTACTTAATTATGGATTCTGGAAACTAACGCAGATTGCCAACTTAATCCTTTTTTTTTTAATAAATAATTTGAGGGTACGAGCTCAGTGTTGCGATTTTGTGGAGGTCCATGAAACACCATACAAGTCCAATGAATATTTTCAATTCGGGCATTTAGTCTATCGTACGCAGTTAGTAGGATCTGAACACATAATCTTCGGTTCCTAAGTTGGAAATTCTCGATGCTCTAATCAATTGCATCGGTCCGGATAGTTTCAATCTAAATCCGGAGATAGAGGGAGAGAGAACTTAAGGGTGAACTAGCGAACCTCAATCGATTAGCATTTCATGGGCGAATTCAAGGGTACACTTTCCTATATCGACCTTATGCGTTCGAGATTTTTTACTCTTTGTATTTTCTTGGAATTACTCGAGTCGAGGATCACAAAGAACTCGATTGTTGTCTAGCGAGCCAAGCCGACGCCCCACTTTTTACTGCCTTACATAATCTCCTAGGCGCGCGAGTCGTTTATTTCTCATATGAAAAAAAAAAAATGCGTGAGGAACGTTCGATTTGATTTGACAATTTTTCGAATATACTTTTTTAAAAATTAGGACTCCGCCGAGTCTAATTCACACCAGATAGAGGTTTGACTGGGGGCGCAAGATTCTCTTATTCGAGGGTTGGCGCGAAATTTGCCAAGCTGGCGCTAGGGTGACGTCAGCGAGCGCGCAAAGCAAAGCCCAGCTTCTTGGACCTCGCGGAGGGTCAAATCCTACGTGGCGTCGGATATTACGCAATCTTATACTCGTGCCGCACAATCGGAGCAGCGACCTCTCCTTGTCTGCCACGTGTCCCGAATTCTGTTAACCGATTCATCAGTACTGTTCCTATGTGTGCTCACCTCCATAAAAAATGATGTGTTTGAGCCGAGTATGCTTTTTTTTTTTTGATAATCGAGGTGTCCGCACGGCCGGCGAGCCAGTGGCTCAAACCAACGGCGGATGCCCGACTAGTCCTCGAGGGGGCTACGCAGAAGATCCCACCGCCACGACCCCCACTTAAATCACCGATAGGCGAGTTTTGAACCCAAGACCTCTCGTGAAAGGAACTGAGCGCAAACCAACGCGGCCACCGATGGGTGGGTAGCCGAATATGCTTTTTAACTTCTTATTTCGCAAAAGATGTGAAAAGTTTGGAAAATATTTTTCAAAAGGTCATTTTCAAGACAATGACAATAATTTCCGGTATTTCCATCATTCGATTTCTAAATAAACATATTGGGCGCTAGCGACTTGTGCATGAGCAACCGAAAAAGCGAATACGAGCAACAGGGTCTTGGGTTCTGCCTCGATGGACCTTGACATAGGCAAGGGCACATGGGACTCGGGCACTAGCATGGGCATCGATCCCAGGTCCAGTTTCGATGGACCTGAGCACCGGGGATCGGGGCACGAGCTTCAAGATCCCTGGCTCGATCTTGATGGACCGAGGCACAAGCATTGGGGACCCGAGCACCAGCATCGGAGTCTTGTGCTCGACCTCGATGGACTGGGTGCGGGTTCCGAGGTCCCAGACTTGCCCTCGATGGACCCAGGTCGGGGCCTGACCTTGATGTACGCGAGAGTCGACCTTGATGGACCTAGGCACCGACGCTGGGGTCTCAGGCCCGGCTTCAATCCACTCAATCTCGATCGTAGGGACACGGGCATGGCGTTAGGAACCGAGCCTGGTCTCGATGGACCTGGGCTTGGGCATTGAGGTCCCAGCCCGACCTCGATGGACACGAGTGCAACCTTGATGGATAGGGGCCCATTGCGCATTGGCACTAGCATCACAGGCCTGACCTTGATGGATCTAGTCTCGGGAATGGAGTCTTGGGCCCTTTCGCCGTGGACCTGACCTTGGCCTCAATGAATCCGTACCTATAGTGCTCGGCCTCAATGGACTAGTGCCTAGGTATTAGGGACCTGAGCATGAGTACTATGTTCTCGGATCTGGCCTTTGTGGACCCAAGTCAAGCGTCAGGGAGCCGAGCAAAGGTACCAAAGTCCTAGGCTCGGCTATTGGTGCTGGTGTCTTGAGCCCAACCTTTTTGGACCAAAAGGACCCCGGGCTTGGGTCCTAGGGTTTTGAGCCCGGCCTCTTTGGACCCAGCTTGGCCTCGATAGACCTCGATGGACTTGGCCTTGGTCTCTAGACCCGAGTCCGCTGCTAAAGGCTTAGGAACAAGCGTTGGTTTCCCATGTTCAAATGCAGAGTTTTTTGTTCAAGCGCTGCTATGATTTCTTATTTTTTAAGGGGAAATCATTTTCCTAAATTTTAAGCATAGATTTTCCGCTAACTCATTTTCCCAAGCGATCCGAATGCCTGAAAAAGACAAAACTATTTTCTGTGAAATAAACGGAGCCTTAAAAATAAATGATGTGAAACTTTTTTCCTAAAAATTGTTTACATCGCTTATAACAAATGAATGAGCGAAAAATATTTTCATCGTCTATGAAAAAGTTTAGATGTAAAATTGTTATTCGTAATGAAAACATTTTTAATTAGCTAATTCTCTTAAGCAATATAAGTGATCATTTTTAGGAAAACACTTTTCAAATAATTCTTTTCTCGATAAACAAACGGAGTCTTAAACTCGAAATTTGCGATTATGATTTTTTCAATCGTAAACGCGAAAAACTTTCGCATTACCGATTAATAACAGTGAAAAAACGAGTTAATTAAAAGAAAAGTTTTACGGAGCCCGTGTTTCACTTAAAACGCGTGATTTTATAAAGGAAAAATATTAAAAACATACCTTACTTGTCAGCCTTTGACCGCTTACATGTCTCTAGATTAACCTTTGAAGACTAGTTTGCACATTCACAATCATTATCATCATGTTGCCATTTACAAAAGTGTCATTTCCTTTCAAAACTGCAGATTCTCAAATCCTAAATTCTTATGCCCATTTAAAAACTCAAAACCAACTAAAAGACAAATCACTCAAAAGTTAATGTGTGTGCAAGAAAGG